CCTCTGCTCCAGTCCCAACAGCTGCTGAGCGCAAGCATGCCCCACCCTGCAGCGCCCCAGCTGGGCTCTGTTTGGCTCCTGCCAGTTCTCCAAGGCAGCCTGGAGAAGGAGGATGAGGTGGGGCCGCCAGGGAGAGGGAGAGGAAGGAGCCGCATGCCACTGCAAGCTGGCCCAGCTGCCCTATGCACCCTGTTGTGTGGAAGGGGGAGGAGGCTGCTGTGCTGTGCCAGCGTCCCATCAAGTAGTGAAATGTCTGGCAGGGCTTTCTGGGACATTTCACTACTTGATGGGGCATGAGGACAGAGCATTTACATTTGGGACATACGGTCAGCGTAACTATTTTGTAACCCTTCCTCACATCTTATTTTCCAATGTTTTTATTGTAGTGAGTCATTGCTGAGAGATGGCCAAGGAGTCCTGTGGTGCCTTATAGACTAACAGATGTATTGGAGCATAAGCTTTAATGGGTAAAGACCCACTTTGTCAGATGCATGTCGAAGTGCATGCATGCACGTATCTGATGAAGTGGGTCTTTGCCCACGAAAACTTATGCTCCAATACATCTGTTAGTCACAGGACTCCCATGTCACTTTTGCAGATCCAGACTAACACGGCTACTCCTCTGATTGCTGAGAGATGAGACTTTGAAAATAGCTGTATATCACTTTTTGACTGTGAAGCTGAATCAGTTTTACTTATAGACTTCAGATTTGTAAAATTCAAGAGTCCTTTGAGAGCTCACACCTAGGTCTATATTTTATTGGATGAGGCGTTTTTGTGGCATTGCTCACCTTAAAAATTGGAATGTCAGAAATCCAGCAAATCCCAACACGCTTTATGTGAAGTTAATTAAATATATGATAGGCTTTACTGAGTGCTCCCATGTGTAAGAGTTTCTGAGCTCCTCAACTCACATGTACCATCTTTTGTCCCAGTATTTCTTTCTGCTTCACAAACCAAATTATGCCTCCCAAAAACTCTTGAGGTATATATGTATCACCATATTTCTATGAGATGGGAGTTAAGAAATTGAGGCTCAGATAAGTGAAGAGATTTATCAGTGGCATAGCTGTGCTGAAAACCCGGGTCTCCTGTCTTGCATTCACATTTTCAGTATTTGCAGTAAGACACCATTAAGTTCTTTCTCCATTAGTTTGAGAAGACTTCCATAAAGGGCAGTGCAGAATAATTTTTATTTATTTCAGGAGAAGTAATCATGATGGTAGATCTTCTAGTAAAGTCCCTTTTGAATAAATGAAATCATATTAAATGGAAATAATGTAGTAAAAATGCTGTTTGGCTGAAAAATAGGGCTTTAGTTAGATTTTATAGTATGTACAAAGCTGGTTGCAGCTTCTAAAATTCTTTGCAGAAATTTAGTGCAAAACCTGTGGTGTTCATTCACATACACAGACAGAAGGATTAGAGTTCTGTGACATCCAAGTGTTTTAGAAATTGAAAATCTTTTTTTTTTTCCTATTTAGAGCTGGAGGAAAACATTCAGCATGTCCATCAAACTATTCATTTAAATAGAAAAAGCATTATAGTAAATAGAAACTTCGACCATAGTGAATTTGTGGCCCTCCTTCATCATGGTGGGCAACCTGCAGCGCACTGGGGTTTCCCCTGCAGCCAGTGCACCCCGTCTCTGCCCTCTTGCATACTGGGTCACTAAAACCCCACTCTCCCTATTCCTCTCTCCCTCCCAAGCATTTACGGAGTGCCACGAATCTGCAGATTTGCGCTCCATCCCAGCTCCTCCCCCTTGCACCCAGATCTTGATCTGGGAGGGAGGGGAAGAAGCAGAGACAGACCGCAAATCCGTGGATTCATGGCACTCTGGGAAGGAAGGGGAAGAGTAGGAAGTGCAGGGCTCTGGTGACCCCATGTGCGGGAGATGTAGACAAGGGATATGTGGGCTGCAGGTTACCCACTACTGGCCTAGGTACTCAGTTTTGTGCCATCATGGTTTGAAGACAAAAATTCAGATGCTTTGTATTATGGTTTAATTAAATGTTCTATATTGTTAAGATTTCATAGCCAAGATAAAGAGCTGCTTTAGTAACTTAATATTCATTTTAAGCCTCTGACTTAAAAGAATATTTTGAATTATTCTGAATTAACATCTAATATGGCATTTTGCTGGAAGTGAAACAATTTGAAAATTTTGCAAAAAATCTGTCTTAAATATTTAAGAAAAGGGAGAGTTTGAAAAATGATAATTTTCAGTTTTGTGGAAGCAGGGAGGCTGCATGACTATCTTTGGAGGAGTTTAAATTCTGCAGTGAACCTTTCAAAGCTTAGAGACTGCAGAGTTGTTAAAGTCTGCAAAGTCATCTTGGGGATTTAGAGAAGGCTACAGCTGTGAAAAACTATGGACTATTACTACTGAGCAGGAGACAAGATATGCTAATTACCACATCTCGTGGCTTGGGTTGAAATCATTTGCATTTTGATAGAAAATCCAATGGTTCCTCATGGAAGTGGATGGAGGAGTATCATTTTTCTATAAAGACGTTCTCAGGCAAAATTTTTGAGGAAGATATAGATACCTGGCAATACATAGTTAAGGTTCCATAAACATCCTTAACTCTGACATATCGTTAGCTATAGTTTCTCTGTCCTCCAACTGTCTCTTTACATCCAGCCACATTGCCATGCCACAATACTTTATCTGCTTTTACATTATGGATAACATCTTCTGAACTTTTCTAGGAAATATGGATCTGTAAACTGCTTTATCAATCCAAACTCTTCCTCACCCATACTTTGACAGCTGGAATTGCAGTGTTCTTTCATTTGCTGTATGCATCTGAAACAACTTTATCAGATCCACTGTTAAGTGTTCCAACTGCAAAGAATAATGTGCCTTTTATATACATTCCTCCTTGATAACCATACATGCCTCAAAGACTGTTTTGTTAAGAGACTCATTTCTGTGTACCATCTCTGAAAATTGTAAAATAGTTGTATATGTAAATTACTGGGCATTTTGTGCCATATGCCCCTCTCTCCCTAGCCTGATCTGCAGTGAAAGTCTACTGCACAGCCTGATTTTTTTTTTCTCCCAGGTGAATCTATAAAAACTCATAGTGGTGGTAGTTCTTTGAGTGCCTGGTTGAATATCCAGTATGTTGACCAAGGTGATGGTTGTCTCACATATATCTAATATACCCGAGTCTTTAGGTAAATCACATAGCTGAGGATAGGGTTGGAATGAAGCTTAACTGTGAAATCTTAAATTTATATTTCCAGATGTTTCAAACTTCTGTCTTTTTATTAAAATGTTCAAAAGCAATTTGAGTGATTTGACCATTGGTGGGCTACATGCAGCCCGCGGGAGTTCCATCTGTCCTCCTCCCTCATACATCTCTTGTGCACTGGAGCCCCACACTTCCTACTTCTCTCTCTCCCTCCTAGCATTTTCAAAGCACCTGCTGTGAATCTGCTGATTTGCACTCCTCAGCTTTTTGGGGGAGAGGCTGTATGTGCTGCTGGTAGAGCCTCAGTGGGCCACAGTTTGCCCACCTCTGTGGTCAGCTGAGGCAAAGGAGCTACCCATCACTGGATTTGACTATAGTTATTTATCATTTTAATTCACTATTTTGTCTGCGAGTCAACATTAATTCCTGAAGCCTCTTACTCCAAATATGCATTGGATTTGAGTTGAATAAGACCCTAATTCTGTAATGAGATTTCTGTGGTCAAATATCTATACCTCCTGACCATTATTGTCCTCTATGGTGCTTTTTTTCCAGATGCAAGTCTCTTGATGTGTGGATCTCATTTCAGGATCAAGGCCCAAATCTGCCTGATGACTGAAGGGTTTTTTAAAAACTCTATTGTTTTATGTTGTTGTTTAAAATTGTGGCCACACCCTCAGCCTGACATGTAGAAGAGGTTTGCTTGTGTTCTTCAGTTAACATACATTTTTGAGCTACTTTTAAAATATATGTACAAAATTAATTCATTAAAACCGGAAAACTATTCTTTATAAATTAAATGGCCACTAAAATTTGGACTGTGTTAATACTGTTGTAATAGTTTGTGACTATTTATAAATTTAATCAAATTGTTCCTAAAAAGTTAAAAACAAACAAGCCTCTCTCTACTTGTAAATTATTTGGCTGTTTTGCTAGAGACAGAAAGCCAGCAGAGGGAGCACACACTGAGTAATCAATCTAATTCTTAGAGTGATGCTGACAATAGACACTGGTGAGACTGTTGGCAAGGAAGAAAAGGAGGAAAATTTTAGTTGGCTTTTACTTAATCAGAAGCACACAATCTTTTGGAAATTGGAAAAAGGACAAACTACTAAACCGGGAAATGTTCCAGCTTTCCAAGAAAGTATTATAGAGAAGGGAGAGTGTTGAAGTATATATTAAGAGCTCTAAAAAGAATATTACTAGTATTCTGTTGTAAACTGCTGCACTTCAAGATACTCATGCTTGTGGGTCCCTTCATATGGTATGAATAGAGTACATCACACAAGAAAAAAAAATAGATTTCAGTAAGCCATTTTCAAACTTCAATTTTAGGGCAGCAGCAATGACTCTGAGGACAGTGTTGTTATCATTGCAAGCATTGCTGGCAGCCGCAGAACCAGATGATCCACAAGATGCAGTAGTGGCAAATCAGGTAAGATGTTCACCAAACTATGTAAACCAAAAACATTTAATTATCTTCCTCTTAATTGGACCTTGTGTGTTCATATTTCATTCCAAATTTAGTTTTTTGAGAAAGTAACTGTTACAGATTTTAAGGCTAAATGGCAAACTGTTAAAAAAGACTACTACTTTGCTATTTTTACAACCCAAATAGTGCAGCACTGAGATCTTGGAAATAATGCTGGTTATAATGAAATGGTTTCACTTTTGTTTTTTCTTATTTAGTCTTTAAAAAGTAAACAGAATAATGAAAAGTAATGAGGGATTAAAAAAATTCAACTGGATAGTCTAAAGAGTTACGAATGAAGCATCTTAAGTATTTGTTTTCAGATTCAAATTAACTGTTTTAGTTAATAACCTAATTAATGTGTATATATTTCTAGTTGGCTTGTAAAAGTGGCTGGTTCAGTATATAGAGACAAAGTAGCATTCACTTTAAAATAGCGTGTTGTGTTTTACTAGAATTCGTGTGGCCGTTTAAAAAATTGTTGAAAACTAGATACAGTCAATTCACAAGTGACTATTTAGTTAACTTTTGTTGAGCCTAAGCTCCATACATTGTGTGAGTCAAGGGGTAAAAGGTGAAGATTCCTGTGAACTTAGTGACAAAGGTGCATTGTGAGAACTCAATACAAGATTTCGTTAGCTTGAATATTTTTTACTTTTAAAATACAATTTTAAAAATGTGAAGCAAACCACTGAAGATACTAAAAACTGAATGCTCATGTTCTGAAAATGTTGCACAGATTTCCTTTGAGGATGAGGACTATATCAGGTGTTGATCGGTCACTCAATCTGGAATGGTCCCTGAGAATTACCTTTACTAAACAATATGTACACTTTGTGGTTAGCAGTGAGGTTAGGAGTACTTTTCCCAGACCTGAAGGAGAGCTGTATGACTTGATAGCTTACCTCTCTCCCTCCAACAGAAGTTGGTCCAATAAAAGATATTTACTCACTTACCTTGTGTCTCTCATATCCTGGGACTGACTTGGCTACAATTACACTGCATGTATTATCATAAGCATTTTAAATTCATATGTTAAAATACCATGTTTCCATGTAATAGACATCCCAGCTACAACTCCTGCACATGACTGGATTTAAAGCCAAGAAATGTCCATAACCAAGTCCAGTTTTAGAACTTAGTAGCTGAGCTAATATAAGTATAATGCAGGAATCTAGGGATCTAGATGCAGAGCATAGTTTCGGTTAAGGTGTGCACCTGCGCGCACAAATTCTTCCACTGCCCACCTCCTCTGGAGAGCTGAGAAGCAGTACTTGCATGGCGGGCAGCTGCTCTGATGGGTGAGGCTGGCTAAGATGGCGCCACTGAGTTGGGGGGTTGGTACCTGCCACGGACATGGGGCGCCTGCTTGGTTGGCCAGGGCTGCCAAGTGGCAGGGAGGGGGGGCGGGTTGAGGCCTTTCTGGTGGCTGGGCCCACATACAGGAGGATTGGGTGGGTGTCTGCTCCAGCAGCCAGGAATGGGGCAGGGCGGGAAGAGGGGGAGTGTTCTGTTCCGACAGCTGGGAACATATGTATGTGTTAATAAATTGGGTGCCATGGTGGCACACATCCAATCAAGTGCACATGACCTCAATATTGGTGCACAAGCCAAAACCACCTCCACTCATGGTTGAAAAATCTTAGAGCAGAGATGGGCAATAATTTGAGAGAGCGTGCGGCGGCTAGAGAGTCATGCTGGCTGTTTTTAATAGTCGCCATGTTTCTCTAGCCCGGGGTGGGCAAGGAGCCCTGTGCGGTGTCTCTAGCTCCTTTGGGCTCCTGGCAGGGTGGGGACAGGATGCAAGAGACTTGGTGTGCTCCCCACCCCCAGGTCCTGATTGGCCTGGGGGCAGGGAGTGCATAAAGCTCCCCACCATCCCTGCTAAAGGTACACAGCAGCTAGAGTTAAATGATGGCTGTTTTAAAACAGCTGGCATGTGTGTCTAGCTGCTGTGTGCTCCTCTAGCTCCTTTGGGCTCCTGGCAGGGTGGGGACAGGATGCAAGAGACTTGGTGTGCTCCCCACCCCCAGGTCCTGATTGGCCTGGGGGCAGGGAGTGCATAAAGCTCCCCACCATCCCTGCTAAAGGTACACAGCAGCTAGAGTTAAATGATGGCTGTTTTAAAACAGCTGGCATGTGTGTCTAGCTGCTGTGTGCTCCCTGCCCCCAAGCACTGATTGACTGGGGAGTGGCAATTGGGTGGCTGCGGGCTGGTGGGGAAGCAACAGGGCAGCCATGGGCTGGATCCACTGGCTTAGCGGACGGTATTCAGCCTGTGGAGGGCTCTTTGCCCACCCCTTTCTTAGAGGGAACAATGAAGAAGGGTATGAAAATAACCCCTGCTGAGCTTCTCTGTCATTCAGTCAGGGACCAGATATTTACCAGTAAATTCTGGCACTTGTACACATTTCTGGAGCACTAAAACTAGACTTGAAAATTTTTCATTTTTTCAATCTTTCCTTTTCTTAAAATGATGCCTAGAAAGAAAACAAATGAACTAACAGTGTTGTGAAATATGTATTTTAAAATATCATTGAAAAGAAACCTTCATGGATTTATTTTTGGATGTTAGGGGACAAACAGGCCAATACTCTAGCATGCTATTAATAGTTAAGTATTTTTTAATATAACTAACATTTTGTGAACATTTGTTTAAAGTTTCCTTCAGTTGAGACAACACAGTGCTATTTATTGAGCACTCCATGCAGTAGATTGCTTTTAATGGTAGGAGGTTTTGTATTTTTTAGGTCTGGTTTTGTGAGCAAGTTTTTATTAAAAGTTAGGTGAAACTTGGGGTTATGTAAGACAAACCAGACTCCTGAAGGGGGCACATTAATCTGGAAAAATTGAGAGCCACTGTCCTGTGTACTACTACGGTACATATAAAATAAAAAATAAAAGTGTGGTAGATTTAAAATGTTTGTTACCTTGTATAAAAAAAGATGGTTAGAACAATAATCAACTGTACATTTCAGTGTCCTTCAGTGTACATTTCAGTGCCCTGGATGTGCACCTCTCCATATCATTGGACCATATGTGGACAATGTTTTCCAAGCATTGTCACACTGGTCAGTTCTGGTCACATAATTTAGGACCCTATAAAATGTACACTTGTAAGAAGGTATAATTGATGTGAGATTATTTCAAAACAATGATTATTAAACTTGCTGTAAAATAGGTATATCTCTAATTTAAAAAAATCCCATTAAATATAAGAACTATTTAAACAGGAAGTTCATATTTTATTGATCTGAAAATGTAATTTGTGAGAAATGAAGCACACCTCTGCTTCTACAGGCTGGAAACTTTCACTGTTGATTTAAGGTAAAGTTCTATTACTTTATTAGAAGATTGGGTTTTTGACAATTAATGTGAAATACTACTATTATCTTCATACAGTTTTTCTAGTAAGTAAACATACCTTCAAATCAGTGGTAGGTCTTCAGTTATTTCCATGTGACCAGCCATTTCCCAGCTCCTTTTGTCACACATGATATCAATATACCCAATTCCCAGGATAAAGTCTAGTAGTAAGATGGCAACCCTCACTGAGACACTAAGACCCTTTCTTGGTCATGAAGGTTCTTAAAAACCATACCCATCTTTTTTTTTTAAATAATTTGCGGAAACACTGTAAGAAATATTAAAATAATGCATGTGCAATTCAGTGAACATTACAACAGTTAATTTCTGCTGTCCGCTACACTGGTTATGCATATTGCATATCTGGACAAACATCAGTGTAGTTACTCTTATGTTAATAAGGGTGCATCTACCCAGCAGTGCTAGCTCGAAATAAGCTACACAATTTGAGCTATGCAAATTGCATAGCTTATTTTGAGCTTATTTGAGATGGACAGTTCTGACATTCCTTAATTCTTGTGGAACGAGGTTTACTGGGACGTTGGAATAGTAAACCCATTATTTTGGTTGCATTTCAAATAATGGGCATGCTGCTGTTAAGACGTGAAAAACACGTCCACTATCCTGAAATAGCATCTTGAAATAGTGCCGCTGTCTAAGCGTACCCTAATTGAACATTATTTCATTGTACATGTAAAATATATAAACTATCTTACCAAAATATTAAATGCAAACTCATTATTAATTGATGCTTCTAACTAATATTTGTGTAAGTTTGAATCCTCAACAACTAACAAAAAAAACTCCAAATTTCACTTTGGAAATACCACTTATTACTAGATTTGACGATACCATATGTAGAAGGAATTATAGAATGGAATTTGCCTGAGTCAACTGGTCTTTCAATTGACTTTGCTGAATAGTTACACGGATTCACTTTTTTCTCTTTTTGTACAGTACAAACAAAACCCAGAAATGTTCAAACAGACCGCTCGACTTTGGGCACATGTGTATGCTGGAGCACCAGTTTCTAGTCCAGAATACACCAAAAAGATAGAAAACCTTTGTGCTATGGGCTTTGATAGGGTAAGTGTATGTATATATGTGTACTTTCTTTTTTACACAAGTTAGGAGATGGGCAGCTATATATGAAATATGAGCTTCAGTTCAAAAAAAGATTTGTGCTACTTTCATAGCCATAGGTACATCTAATCACTATTTTAATGGCTGCTTTTCTTCTTAGTGACAACTGGATACTTAACATACCATGTTTTACGTACTAATAAAGTACAATAACACAGTACTTTTCATTTTATAATTAAATGAATACTTTTTAAAAACTTTTAATGCTGGAAAATCTCAGTTACGACTGAAATAACTGATAATTTAACAAATACAGACCTTGATAAATGTATGAAGTCCCAGACTGACCTTCAGTGCAACAGCTGGGTTGATGTGAAAAGCAATTTCACACCCTGAAAAATCTCACTTTTTATTTTGTCTTCACAGAATGCAGTAATAGTGGCCTTGTCTTCAAAATCATGGGATGTAGAGACTGCAACAGAACTACTTCTGAGTAACTGAGCCATGTAAAGAGCTGCTTCTGTGTAGTCCAGCTTGCCCTTTCTGAGGAACATCACCATCTGTTATTTTTAGGATTCTATATAGATTCTCTTTTAAAACTGGCACTCTAGCCTGATGATGCTATCTAGGCACTATTGGAGACTGAAAAACTGCTCTGTAAATAAAGCTAATTAAACGTCTGTGTAAATTTAAAAGGGGAAATACTTTAATTTTTTCTTACTAAATATTGTAAAAATTCTTTGAGCTCAGCTAAAACAACGGGGGGAAAACATGCCTACTTTAGTGTTTAGCAGTGTGACCAAGACTAGCAGGAATTTGCTTCAGGATTTTGATTTAATTATTCAGACAACATTTTTGAGTGTCAGAGTCATCAAAAATTGTTGGTGTCACTCATGATAGCTATCTTACTGTTTTTAACATGGATCCTATGTGCCTGTAGATTGACCTATATTTGCATGCTTGTACTTTACTAGACATTTTAGATAGGGTAGCTGAAGAGTGCACCATTTAAATACTTGAATGACCCTTTTTCCTGAAAGTGTTTCAAGATTTACCCAAAGTTCAAAATGGTGACCTGTTCAGAACCTCTTTCTTCTTAGCCAAGTGACTGGGAAATCTGCCCTCCCCAACAACACACACTTACAATATCGTTCTGGATTTCTTTCCATAATCTGTGGGTCTGGGTGCCATTAACAGTACTTAGTTGCCAGTTTAAATGGTATATTTTGAATAATCAGTAAATGTGTTTAACCATCATACTTGCTACACAATCATATAAAGATTTGGTATGTTTGGACATAGCACAAAAAAGTGGAGCGGCTTTTGTTTGTTACATAAGTCAGAACTCCTTCAATAAATTTGGATAGTATGAATTCACTGGATTTGGGGGAAGAACAACTGATTCTCTAGTATATTGAGAATTAAAAAAAACTATTGAATTTTATTTTTTTTACTTTGAGTACTTGCTATGATGCAATCAGCTTTTTTTGCAACAGCTTTCTAATTTTATTTTGAGCATCAGTATATCGATTGCTTACCAGGTACTTTAAAAATCACTCTTGTTTGCATTTTTCCCTAGTTAATACATGGAGGCTGTGTTGGTGTTTTTATTGTACATAGTTCAAATGCACATAGAAGTAGAAGTGTGTTCTCGGTTTAACTTTCTTTTGGATTGATGTTTCTGATAAACGAGAACTGAAATTACCTTTGTACATAGTCAGTCTTTCTATTCATATTAAAATTACATTTCATCTTGAGTTTAAAAGCTTGAAAATCATTAGTTTGTAACTTCAAGATATTAGTACATCCATCTAAAGAAAGTTGTAATGTCTTCTTGTATACTTCAGAAAATACATCAGACACAAAACTTTCAACTAAAATAGAAAAGAAATTAAGAGTAGAGACTGGAAATTGTGGATGATAGTGTATCATAAAAGGCTTCTTCCTTAAGCAGTAGTCCAATAAGTGTGCGTGTGTGTGTGCGGGGGGGGAGGATATACATTCATTTTGCTCGAACTATAAAATGAGCTGTAATAGTAATACTTCAGAGAAGATCACATTTGTACATTATACTGGAAGCAACAGAGAATATTATTAAACTTAAATTTCTGGAGCAAAGTAGTAGGGGGAACAGAATTAGAAAATAGATGGAAAAGACCTAACTAATGCAAGATTGCTCCCCTGCAGTATTCTAATGTGCTCATACTTTAAAAATACTTGCAGGACACAGACAGTACATTTTTAACTCATATCAGTGCAATACTAAAAACGGTTGCTATAGTCTTTCTGTACTTCATTCTAAGGTTTATTCAGTGATCGTTCTTGGATTTTCTTGCAGTAGTGTAAGTCATTTTCAGAGATGCCAAAGGAAACACATTTTTGGGGATTTTCCTTGATATTTATTTATTTTTTAACAATTAAAAAGCTGCTACTGCTCAACTGGTTTGTTAGGTAATAGCTAGAAACAGAAAACTATGGCAATTTTGCCATTTGTGTTAAAATGTCAAGTTATTGTCTTTTCTGTTATGTAGTTTAAGAACATTGTGATAATTTCAGTTACATTTATTTACCCTGGTGGTACTTGTAAATGACCAATTTCTTTCCCTTATTCTTCGCTGCTATTTATCAAAGGAAGGAACTTGGAAATCCTAGGGGACACTAAAACTTCTTAATTATAGCTTCTGGACCCATCACTTTGACAATAGGATTAGTCAAAGTTTTCCATGCATAGAAGGGGATGTAGTTAGGAAGGGGACATGTGGAGAGAATGCTTTATTTGATCAATGTCATCCCTGGATTTTCTGTTGCCAAGTACTTCATTTTTTGTGGTATTGTAAAAACTGTCCTCCCAATACAGTTCTGTTCAAATGCATATTAGTACAGATGCCAGTGTGTCCTTTCTTGCCACTCTCCCCTTCTAAGGGCTTAGTAACTAAGGTACTTGTCTCAGTGCTACCTCAGATGCTGGTAGCAAGGAAGATTCTCAAGACATGGATGGGGGAGAAGTGACCCAATATAAAATGGACATTCGTAACTTGAGTTCCCTATGAATCTTTAGTTTGAGTCCTTTGTAGGGAATGTTTTTCTATTCTTGGGTGACTATCAGAGTTGAATATAAGGGTATGTACCAGATTAGTCTAACTGCAGCCAGGGCTGAACCATAGGACTATCTTGCTGTTAGATGTTCAATTGTTTAGTCTTTACAAAGATACTGTTAATTGTAGTTCAGATTTTTTTAACTGAACATTGCTATATTCAGGGCCCTGTGCGTTCAAGACTGTGGAATTGCTATACAATCTTCTGCTGCTGCAGATTTAGGCAGCACATTTAAACTTAGTTTAAAAATATCTAGGTATCATGAGTAGAGATAGCTTCCAATTTTAAATACCTGGTTGTCTTCCTTAGTGTGCAAGCAGACAGCTCAAAACTGTGACTGAACCTTGGAGAGCCCCATTTATCTTTAATAGGTGCTAATATTGTAGCTTAAGGACTACCTAAATGACAGCAAAACATCATTACGGAATATTATAGCAGCAGCATCTAGTTAATGTGGTATATCAATTGTTCTTGGATATTATTTTTGGTGAAAAGGAAATTCCAGTCTCTTCTTGTCCCTCACAAATTTTAAAGTAGTTTCTGACCTTATTTAGAGGCAAAGAAAGAAGTTGCTTTCCCCATTGTCAATAGCTTTAACTCTTTCATGGGTGCCAAAAGTCCCCCTTTCGTTGCCAAAAACTCCACAACTTCTGACTTCTCAATATGACAAACTGATATCTCTTGGGAAATTAAAACAGCCAAAATAAAATCAATATTAAAAAAGGATACTATCGCTGTCACTCCACATTTAAGTAAAAGGCTGTTTTCTGATTTACCTGAATTTGCTACAAACTTCCAGTCCTAGAGTACCATCCTCAGTTAGGGGCCTTACTGCAGAATTTAGGTGCAACTTACCACAGAGTACATAGGGCCTTGACTAGCATGGGTCAGACAGTAGTATTTATTTACAGAAGTAGGTACTATACATTTTGTTGAACAAAAAAATATTCCTGATTTCACTGTATTTAACTTTCAAGTAAATTAGGATTGGAACACTGATGTATGGAATATAGGCATTTCGTGCTTGAAATGAGAAATTAATTAACCAAAAAGAGACTTATCTTGAAACAACAGATCTACATTATTTGACGTGGATAACAAACAAACTATGCAACATTAATCTTCATAAAAGCAGCTGGAAGACAGGCCGCCTGCTTCAGAGCGTATAGGCCAAATATATACTGGACATCAAAACAAAATGCAATTTGAAGTAGAGCTCGTTTAACTGGTGGCTGTATACCTGTACAGTGAAGAAGTCAGCTTTCATAGCAAAGGGAGGCTTTACTGTGTGCATGCCCACTGCTTGCTTCCTCCCTCAGGTGTAATAGAGCCTGCTTATTGTTGGAGACAAGCCCAGGAGGGGCCAAAGTTGAATAAAACTTATTTTAATGCCTGTTCTAGGGGGACAAAGTGGGACCAGGAATACTCTCGCTATTTGGAATAGCGAGGCTGTTCTGAAAGTTAAGAGGAAAGCTGTACAAACATTTGGTTCTCAGCAAGCTGGAATTATAAAGCAATCCCTAGAAACAATTCCTTACTGTGCTTTGAGCTACTCCAGTTTCAAAGTAATGTAGCTCAAAGCACAGTAAGGAGCTATTAGTTTGGGACAGCTTTAAAACTCAGCTTGCTGAGAAAAATGTGTTTGAAGAGGAAACCCAAATATTCTTGGTGGATGTGATCATTGATTGTTTTGTAGTACACGAGAGCAATTGGCTAAGCAGAGAGTAGTTAAATTTTAATTTTCCTATGCATTTTACTCCATGACAATAGTAAAACATAAATTAAAGTTGTTCTGGGAAGAGCAAGTAGATGTTTTCACTGAATAGCATAAGTTCCCAATGTTGCTTTGTTGATGGAAAAGGATTTGTCAGTCTTCAAGAAGATTGCTGATCCATACTTCAGTAAAACCATATACTATGGTCTTCTCACACCTACTGTTACAGCTTCATCAGCTGATGTATCACTAGACATGCAAGGTATGTGTTACTTCTCATTTGGCTATTTTTACTATAATTCTCTGTAGGCAACCTCAGCAACTTTACTTTTCAGATGTATTACCAATTGACCAACTGTTGCAAGTCATTTGCACTGTACTGTGATGTTCCTGCTCCTGTTACCTGCTTGTGGGCAGCATAAAAATAGCTAGCCAGTTGCTCATGGGGCTGAACCTTTCACTGATGAGGAAATGTACTATGAAAGTGCTGTATTATCCCTTTTACAATTTACAACAACTGCTGGTGCTGAAGGAGGCTGCTATCATAGAAATGCCGAATTCAACTGTTGAAGAATCCCACTTGTCAAATACCTTTTCCATCTCAAATTTTGATTTTTTTTTTTAAGTTAAAGAATACTGGAAGAGGTTTGTTACTAAGCATTTAACTTCCTGTAAAGGCAGAGTAGAAGTGGGCTGGAATGAAGCATCAGTGTTTTTTGTCTTGAGAATAAAAACTAGACAACACTTTTGTATACTAATGATTTTTTAAATAAATAACATTTTACAAGATGTTGATTTTCATTGGGAATGCTTAACAATAAATGCATGTTTCCCTGAAAACAGTTTTCATCTGATTTCTGGTAACACTTCTTCCTCAATCTGAGATGGACTAGGAGGCAGTGCACCGTGTGAAGAGGGGGAATGAAGTCTGAGGTAACTTTGATGTTGAAGGAAATTAAAATATGTAAGCTGTTAAGAAAGATAAGTAAGTGTAATGAGCTAAAACCAAGGTTGGTGGAAAACACCTTGTACACAGCAGCTAGGACATGATGTGATTAAAGTCTAGAATATTGTAATTATGGTAAACTAAGTTTTTGACTTTACCACTCCATTAAACACTAGGATGGCATAGCTAACTTATCAAGAACTTTTCTGGACTTTTTTCAACAGATTACTACTAATCCATGCTTTAATTGTACAACTTATTATAGGTGGGTGGTTCAGTTTGGGAGAGCTGTAATCAATTGTTTAGGTGGAAAATTGTGACAAGCTCTCCATTAGCTAAAATCTTCCTCTGATGTTAGAGATGAATGGCTGGCTCCTTCAACTTTATGAAAGTTTTGATAAAAGGTTGTGGTATTCCTCTATCTTCCTGGTTTAAAAAAAAAGTGCACTAAAACTATTACCAATGATATTAAGGAGTTAAACAGCCAGCCATTCACATTAAAATAAAAAACTCTTCCCTCCCACTAATACTAGGTTAGCATTTGTATGCTAGACAATGAATTAATGAACTCATGTATTTTGCCTCATGTATCCTTCTTTCTGTCAGTTCCTTTGTTTTTGTTTCAGCGTAGTACCAACTCTGTTCTCAAAGTTTAAGATAAACATAGGCTATGGAATGGGTTTGTAAACTATTTCAAAATTATGTAAGGAGGGCTTCAGTTATTGTAGTACTAGATTGATACAGTAATAGTCTAGGGCTACGTCTACACTGGCCCCTTTTCCGGAAGGGGCATGTAAATTTCACCAGTCGTCGTAGAGAAATCCGCGGGGGATTTAAATATCCCCCATACTTCAAAGTAGGAATAAGACCCTCCGGAAAAGGGCACTTTTTCCGGAGGATCGGGGCCAGTGTAGACGCTCTTTTCCGGCTTTTTTAAAAGCCGGAAAAAAGCGGCGGACATTGTTTAAATGCTGTGGGGGATATTTAAATCCCCCACGGATTTCCCTACGACGACTGGTGAAATTTACATGCCCCTTCCGGAAAAGGGGCCAGTGTAGACGTAGCCTAGGTGTATAATTCGGGTATTTAGTGTAAAGGTGGTGGCTATTTGGGTGTTGGAACAGCATAGTAAATAGGCATGAGAGGGTAAGGAAGCACTCTGTCCTTTGGTGAGTGAAGAACCTAATGTTACATATCCAAGCAGAGGTAAATGTTATGAGCTGGTATTTAGCCATAGCTTTTGCCAAAGGTGCTGTAAAGCACACCTCCAGGTGGCCCTTGCTAGAGCTGTATCTGAATTAACAGCCCTCTCATCTACTAGCTGAGACTTGGGGGCAGGCAAGATGTGGCCTACACCTACCTCTGCAGCAGGGAGCAGCACTGATCAAAGCAGCTAACTGTTCTCTGCACTGTGGGGATGGGGGGGGGGGAGGGGCGCGGAGGCGGGTCGGGC